GTGCAAAAGCTGATCGAGAACAAATGGAAAATCTTGAAAAGAGAAACTCTGTTCTAGAACGAGATGTGATGCGTTTTCAACAGCGAGAAGCAATCCTAAAGAATGTATGTGATGCTAATTTTATTTAATCAAAAATATTAATCTGGTAATTTATAATTGTTTTTTATTTGCACATATTAAGGTCAGATTATTTGAAATGAAAATACCATACGCTCGATATTCTGTCGCCAAGGACGAATACACCGAAGCAAAAAAAGATTATCAGTCTGCTCATGCGCATTATAATAGTCTGGTTCAAGAAAACGAACCAGTGAAGCATAGAAGAGAGTATGTATGATTTTAATATTGTTGATATTTATTACCTCGTAATTAATGAAAGAGTTTATTAATTCATTCGTTTAATCATAACTTAGGAGATTAGAAAATGCCGAAAAAACCTCATCACTAGAAAGAAAGAGTCTGTATGATCAATATGTCAAAACCATGCGACAGATTGAACAATGTGCAAATAAAGTGGAGCAAATGGTAAAAAGCTATAGTAAATCGATTACAATTGTTAGTGACAATGATAATGATAATAACGTAATTCTCTAAAAAAGGAAAACGAAAGTGATGACCTTCAGAAACAAATAAGACTCTTAAAAAGAGAAGAAAAAGAGAGAAATAAACGAATTGCACGTCTTCAAGCAGAAATTACTGAGTTAGAGAGTATTGTTAACGAGCCACCGCCAGAAGTTAATATGAGCAGTATTCAACGACAATTGGTGGGATTTTTTTTTACTTTGATAAAATAATTTGAAATGAATGACAATTATTAAAATAGCACATTCATAATAAAGGAACAAGTGGATAATCGTATTAGAGATCTTAGGAATAGTGTCGATGAACTTCAATTAAAACAAGAAGAATATGTTGATGTAAGAAATAACTTTCTTCTTCAACGCGAAAATTTTGTCAAAGAGTAAGAAAAATTCTTTTAAATTTGATTTTAAGATAATTCTATTTATCTTTATTATTAATCATGCTATCCTACTAATATTTTTAGACTCAGACAAATAGTTGATGTCACAGAACGACGACTAAGATCTATTAAACAAATTGACCATGCAACATTTCAGGGATATCAATGGATTCAAGCTAATAAGAGCATTTTCAAAAAAGATGTATTATTACCTTGGCTCACGATTAATATTCGGGATATGCAATATGTTGATGTAATTGAAAGTGCATTGAATATCGGTACAATTAAGGTGAATTCTTTGTGATGATGACAAGATGTTTATTTTTTATCGGCTAATTATTGATTTTAATGTTCCATAGACTTTTGTTTGCCAAACAAAAGAGGATTACCAGACACTTACAAGAGAAGTAGTAGACAGATTAAAGATCCGAATTAATGTCGTTTGTTTTGATCACAGACAAATGAATGACTTTTATCCGCCTGTTCCTCATGGACAAGTTACGTCTCATATCAATTGATATATTATTGATTTTGAGCTATTAATATTAATATTAATATTCAATAAACTTAGTTGAGTAATTATGGATTCGATTGCTATGTCTTGGATCAAATTGAAGGACCAGAAGCAGTTTTGGTTGCAATCTGTCAGATGTCTGCGATTAATATGATTGTAAGTTTTTATTTAATTGTAATATGGGAATACAGAAAATAATTTATTAACATCGTGATTGCTTTTTTTTTTTGTTAAATAGCCTATTGCAAAAAGAGATATCGACCATAAGTTTGTAGAGAATAGCCGAAAATTCAAAAGTTATTTTGTTGGTGACACTCTCTTCAAAATATCCTGGTCTCGATATGGGCGACAATTAGCGCAATCAATGACGAGTAGAATTAAACCATCTACTTTATTAAGAGATTCAAGTAAATGATCAGTATACCCCATTTTATATTCAATTTATATACTAATTATTTATTTCTCATAAAAAAAAGTTGATGTTGAGCAAAAGCAACAACTTGAGAACCGATTACAGACTGTCGATCACAGATTAGAAGAAGTTGATCGGGTTTTGCGTGAGTTTAATGAAAGTGAATCTATGAGTCGGCGCGAGTTTGATGAATTACGTGGAAGACGGGTATTTTACAATTAGTATTTATAGATTTTTTTGAATATATTGTTACTTGTTAAATTAAATTAATTATAATTTTAAAGGAAAATTTGGTGGAAGAAAGACGAAAAGCTCAAGCTGCTTTGAAGAATTTCGAACGACAGAAACTTAAGCTTGGTATTTATTATATATTATTTGTTTTTCCTCGTATCACATCTAAATCTAATAAATATTTTGCATTTTTCATAGGAACCACTAAAGCAAATTTACAAAATGAACTGTCAAAACCATCTTCGACTATTGATCATGAACAGCAATTAAAGCAAGAGTTACGTCAAATTGCTCGTAAACGGGCTACGCTTTTTTTGGATTATAAGGTTAGTTTATTCGCAATCTACTTGCGTATATTTATACACAATGTGCTAAAAGATTTTATTATGTATATAGGAAACACTGGATGAAGGCATAAAACTATTTTCTGCACGTAATTTAGCCGCGTTGAAGCATTATCAAATTACCGCGGAGATCCACGCGCTCGTAAGAGAGACACAAGAGAAAGATGATAACGTGAGAGAAGCCCGAAGACTTTTCACGATAGGTAAAATTTAGATTAATTCTATTGTTGATCTAATTGATCTAATTCATTTTCTTTTATTTTGTAGCTGATAGTTTGCTAAAAGAACGGAAAGAGAAAGCGAAAAAGTTATACGAGATTGCTGAAAATGCTATTAAAGACTTGAGTGATGAAGAAAAAAGAGAGTTCCAAGAGGTAAGCAATAATCATCCTAGATTTTATCATAATAATATCATAATAATATCAAATTTTTTTATTTTCCTATCATTAGCTCACTCAGGGAATGTCATTAGATGAATTGGAAGAAGCACTCGCCAACGAAAAAGCCAAAGCTGATCTTCATTATGCGACAAATCCTCAAGTTATTCAACAGTATAACGAAAGATTGGCAGAAGTAACCAATAAATTATTTTAAATAATATAAGCACTTAATTTATGTAGCAAGAATTTATTTACCTTTTTTCTTTCTATTTAAGATTATGAATTTGAAGTCTAGGATTCAATCATTAGATACTCGATTAGATGAATTATCGAGTGAGATGAAGACAACGAGAGTAAGCTTTTTTTTTATTTATTGTTTATAATTTTCATTAATAATTTTCATTATTAATGAATTAGGAAAATTGGGAACCAAAATTGAATCAATTGGTAACACAAATTAGCCATCGTTTTTCAGAATCTTTTGAAAGTACGTATGGATTAAACATATTAATATAAATTTGTTATTAGAATATTAATACATAGTTTTTCTTTTTAGGAATTGGATGTGCTGGTGAAGTACGAGTTAGTACTCATGAGGATTACGATAAATGGGGAATTGAAATACTAGTGAGATTCAGGTATATTATTAAAGATTATGATTAATATTATTATTTATTAATTCTAGCCATTTATGCGAGCACAATTAAATAACACATGTAGGGATAATGAACAATTGCATGTTCTGACAGCGCAAAGACAATCTGGAGGGGTAGGTAATAAATATTAATAATCATATAATCAATTAAAGACTCAACAATATATGGGATATGCAAAAAAAAAATAGGAACGCTCTGTATCGACAGTAATGTACTTGATGTCACTTCAAGAACTAGCAAAAGCACCGTTTCGCGTAGTTGATGAAATTAATCAAGGAATGGATCCGCGTAATGAGCGATTGGTGCATAGCCAGATGGTAGAGACTGCTTGTCGACCAAATACGTCGCAGTATGTGATTTTTTCTCTTTTTCATTCTTAATCAATTCTATTTATTTCTCAAATAAATATTTGTTTGTTTGGTAGATATTTTCTAATTACACCCAAACTTTTGCCGGATCTCGAATACCACGATCGAATGAAAATCTTGTGTATTAATAATGGAGAATGGATACCAGAGAAAATTGATTACAAAGGGTATATTCAAAATAAAATACAGTCCAAGGGAACTTAATAATAATACAGTAGAATTAGAATTTAAGCGTTTATATTAGTGTTAATAATTAAAATAAATGGGTTTTTTGAGTCTTGAAATATTAAAAAATAGAATTATTTAATGAATTTATTACGTAGATAAATTATAATGACGACGGTGGGGTTTGAACCCACGCATGTTTCCATACCAGGGCCTAAACCTGGCCCCTTGGACCACTCGGGCACGTCGCCTTTTTTATTTATTAGATTACGTTTTATCTAATAGATTGTTAAAACTACATGTTTTTTATTAGCAACGACAAGCAATTCTAGAATCTGGCATCGCCTAAACTGTAAGAATAGTAGTATTTTTATAATCTAATTAAACAATGACTGATCTACCTCCAGCAATTACATTATCATCAGCTTACCGTTAAATATGGGCAATAACACTGTCGTCAACAAATAAAATCTATACTGACTGTTGTGAATATATTAATTAAACTACACAGCTTCTTTATGTAAACTGTTTTGCAATCAGTATACCCAACTCAATTCTCGCATTGCAAATACTTCTTCGATAACAGAATTCAAGCAATCTACTACTTTAGAACAATGTTTGACAATAATTCAGTCACGATCATTGCCGTCTCGAAACACCTCCGTTTATGCGATAAGGATAGTAGTGGAGTTTACTTGACCTAGATATTATGTGAGATTAGATATCCTGCTACTAATTCAGTTTCTAATATCATTCGAGGTATCGGTTGTCGATAAAATTAATAATAATAATAAAGATCTCCAAATAAAGGGGTTCGTTAAAGCAAGGCAAGCCGTTTAGCCGGTTTAGCCACATATACGCCACATTTGATCGGCGGCACATGATT